TATGTATGTAATATATAGTGCCTATCCTCCGTTTGCTAATCAAGAACTAGGAGATTCCGGTTAATGCTCCCGGCGCTTATTAAGCCCAATTTGGTCAGGGCCCGAGGTGGGCTTAGTAGCCGGCGACTACTGTATTCCGATTTTCAAACAGCAATATTTATGAGCTTGGACATTGTTTATAAGTGTCTTACGGTGTGTTCGTTCTCGTGCTGTCGATAACTGTTTTTGTTTTTGCAGCCGCTTAAAACAAGAACTTATTTTTCCATGTTGCGGACATCTTGCGTTTCATCCAATCACTTCACTTTTATTTGCTTGTTCCTTTTTGGCGGTTTAAGCATTTGTGCATATGTTGTGGATTTTCTTCTGGTGACGTCTCGAGGGCACCTATGTGCATTTATTGACCCCTGAAGTGCATACGTGTGCTTGAATGGAACGGCATAACCGTAGGTTTCTGGCAGGAAGTCACTAACTATTGACGCATCTTTCGGTTGCTGGTTTATCCTACAATATAGATGAGTTTGTAAACTGTCGATGGTATGGGCATCCGGAACTTTAGAAAAATGGGCAACGATGTTCGGGAAAGGATGAAAAATTTCAAGTATTCGAATCCGTGTGTCTTGTGAGTCCTTACACGCTTTTCTGCGGATCAAAGTTGAGCATTCCTCCCAGCATGAATTGACGTTAGAAGCTTGCAATCATTTTAATGGTGTCCTTAAAAGCTGCGGACCAATGCGTAATACACTTTTTAACGGCCTGACAAAAGTCCAGCATTCCATCACTTATCGTGGTTTTGAAAGCTGAAGACTTCTGCGTAGATAAATGTTCATAGAGCGAGATAGCTAATATAGGGAAAGTAACGATACTAAATCATTGGAATTTTTGTTATAGCCGTAATGGTGTGAAGTTGAAAACAGATGCAGTGTTCTTAAACATACTGGGAAGTGGTGGGACGTTAAAATTAATCGATCTTCAACACTTTACTTTGAAAATAAGTTCTAAGCAACTTAATCTTTAGACTCACCGGTACTTTATAAATCAGCTATGCTTGTTTAATATGGCGACGGATTAGCTGTGCAACATCTCCGTTAGTAAATGCTTCCCGTTTAGAACACGGATCATTCGAGCTGAGTGCAGTTGGAAAAAGTGAGTAACTCGACTAGATTAACATTTCAAAAGTACTTCCTTCATCTATCACTGCGTAACAG